ATATATAACTATACAACTATAAAAGTTTTTGCTGTAAACTACAATAATTTTAACATCAGTAAAAACAAACTAAAAAATTCTAATTATTTCATGTCACAAAGAATTGTTTAATGAATTTATTTTTGTCTCAAAGAATTATTCTTCAGTTTCACAATGATGCAGGCTGTATCTAAAGCCGACCCACAGCTGGCACACATTTTTTTCCTCTTTTTCTCAGGAAATGTTGAAAAACACAAATACTGGATGTAGAAAATATCTGATTAAACCGGCCTGTCTGACAATGTGACTATTTTGTTTATGATGCTCAATCATTACATGTCTGTTATTATTGAGTCTACATCATAATTTCTGAATTTATATGCAGCCTAATTAGCCAACAATCCAATGAAGTCCATATTTACATGTTTAATATCAGTAAATAATATATTTGATAACAGATAAAATCGATTTTAAATAAAGTTAAACATGAACATTAAAGCTGTTTAATGTCAGCATGCAGGTTTTACTATTAAAATAATTKATTTTGGTTAAATATGCATAATCATTGCCTGTGAAACATAACCTTTTTGGCTCTTGTAAATGTGTAAAAATTTCTGCAGTTTATAGCAAAGTATTTGTACCATTTGTACATTTATAAAGCGTTTGTTTGCACCGCGCTACATTCTGCTCATTGATTTCAATGGTTAGCATTAGCTCAATGCATAAAAAAAAAACCCTTGCGAAGCACGCCCAGGTCACGTGACGCCCAATCCAGTAATAGATATCATTGGTTCTAGCCCCCCTAAAACAGGGCTAGAATCACCACTGATACTAGCAGAGGGCATCTATTAAATCTATTAACTTTCCTTGAATGACAAAGCTCTTTGCTTTCTCTTAAAGTTAGACTTTTGAGATTTAGAAAATGTGAGGATTTGGTGTTTTGTGTTTTCTGTTCTGGTCTTGTGCTTCCCTCTAGTGTTCATTCATGCATTGTCATCTCAGTCCTCAGATTATTCAGCCTTCAAGACCCTTCCATTCACACCTGTCTGCACTTGTAATTAGCTCAGCAGTTTTCCTTTTCCACTCATCCCTGCTTGTATATAACCTGCTCAGTTTCTCTCCACCCTCGTCCAATCATTGGGCCTCATGCAAGAACATGTTCGTATTCTTCTCCTAAATTTCTCTTACTTTTGTTCGTACAAAGGGTTCGTACGAACATGTCACATCAGATTCAACAAAAGCTTCTATCTTCAGGAAAAGTGTGTAAATGAGCTGCGTAAATTACACCTGTTCTATCCAGCTGCTCGTGCA